AAAGTTGGGATTGTTTTACCCCCCCCACCTTGTCTTTGTTGCATGGAAATGTTTTTGCTATTCTAGGTGTCTTCTGGTTCCAAATGAATTTTTGGATTATTTTTTCAAGATTGGTGAAGTATGTTGTTTGTATTTCAATTGGGATTGCATTCAATCTATATAGCAGGCTTGAAAGTATCAGACAGAAGCCTTTACAATTAGGACCTGTCCAGACCTTCTTCTGTGTGCTTATTCATCTGTTTATTCATTTGTATCCTTATTATAAAGTGGCAAACATGTATAGAGTATTTCTCTGAGTTTTGTGAGTCATTGTAGCAAATAAACTTGAAGAGGTTTTAGGAACCCTCAGTTTATAACAAAGTTGGACAGAAGTGTAGTGCTATTTTTTAAAATCTTAAATATCCCCCAAAGGTCATGTATTTAGGGATCAGTCACGAGCCTGTACTACTACTGGGAGGTGAGGCCAAGTGGAAGGAAGTTAAGTCACTGGGGATATGCCCTTGAAGGGGATATTGAGACCCTTGACAAGAACTTTAAACTCAGCCATACACAAATCCTCAGAACATGGACAAAAATACTTGCATAGACAAATAATTTGTTGAAATGTAATATGAATGGCCTCTAATCCAATTCCCAACAGAGTTTTCATTCCCACCTGTAATTTAATCAACATATTTCTATCAGAATTCCTGTCTAATCTGTTCAGCATAGATAACTGACTTGACTCTACTTGGTGATGTAATCCAGAAGACTTAAAAATTGGAGTTTGAAAAAGTTTGTAGATGCAGGCTAGAGACACCCAGAATGTTGTAAGCAGAACTTAATGGGCAATTCTGGTAAGGAATTAGAAGACATAGATACACTCTGGCAGAGGAAATTTCAAGGCAGCACAGCATTCAGGTGGTGGTAAAGGTATTGGTGATTGCTTTTAGCCAAGTTTACAGTGAGAACTAGAAGCAAAGAGCACAGTAGACAAATTTGAAAAGCTTGCAACTTTCTCAGAAATGAAAGAAATGTGTGAAAAGTTGTGGTTAAGGAGGGTTCAGTTGCTAAACAGATTAGCATTATTTTTAAAAAAGCCATAGGGGCCAGGGTTTTGGCTCAGTGATTGTGCCACCTGACTTGCAAGCACAAGGGCCCACGTTCGATCCCTGGCACACACACACACACACACAGAGTCAAGTATAGTAAAACTTTGGATTGCCAGTAACTTGTTCTTCAAGTGTTTACAAGATGAGCAAACATTTCTAACAAATTTAAACTTGATTATAACTGAGCCAGTGGTTCAATGGTTCTCTCTATCTCTGTCTCTGTCTCTATCTCTAGCTCTTTCATTGTGGGATCGTGGGTGATCATCTCCCAACAGCAAGAGGTTATGGAAAAGATTTGTTCTGTAAAAGAGGAGAAAATAGCAGAGAAACCCCTCACTTCACGTAAAATTAGGGAGATGTGTAAAATGTGGGAAACAGTGCAAAATTTTTTAGAAAAGCACTCTCCCCCCCATAAAAAGCTGTAGTAGTGAGAGTGATGAATCTGTTAATAACAATACAATGAAACATATTCCATCGAGCCAGTAGATAGCAGTGATTCTATTAGTGATAGTGAAAGTAATCCTACACAATATCCCTCCTCTGTCTTATCTCCCTTATGCGAGCTACAAAGGTTTTCAAAGGTAAGTGCAGATCAACTTCTTCTTCTTCTTTTTTTTTTTTGTACCAGAAATCAAACTTGGGCCCTTGCACTTGCAAGACAGGCGCCGGAACCACTGAGCCAAATCCCCAGCCCTATTCTTCTTTATATATTTTTTATTATTTTGTCTTACATTATGATACTATAACCATTTTATATGAATATTTTGGATTGTTGAATCATCTAAATTTCCATTATTTTTATGGGGAAATTCATTTTGATACACAAGTGGTTTAGATTAAAAGGATGTTTCTGTAATGAATTTATGCTTGTGAACTAAGGGTTTTACTATAATTTGCTATGGAATAATGGGAAAGATACATCTTAAAAATCAGCTAGTCTTCATTTGTTACAGACTTAAAGTCACTTATTTATTTGAGAAGTGAAGTTGGGGATCCCTGATTCCACAAAACAGTCTAGAAAATTGTTTCGCCTGGATTCTTTCCCCTGCATTCCTCCAACCAGATACCTAGAGGCTGCTGTAGTTGTGGTTCAAATGCTACTCCAACCAGTGTCAGACCTTGGTATCATTCTTTTTTTTTTTTTTTTTAGTACTGGGGATTGAACTCAGGTCCTTGCACTTGCGAAGCAGTGGCTGGAACCACTGAGCTAAATCCCCAGCCCTAATTTTTTTGATCCTAGTTTTTCAGGTCTGAGAAATGCAAGAGTTGTGCCATCATAGAGGCTTTCACCAAGATTTGGAAGGAAAGCATAGCAGAAAGTATGTGAGGTTCAGAGTCCACGCCAGTGCAGTGTGTGAAGCTGAAGCTACAAAGACCCCAGGAAGTTGAAGATGCCAAGAATGTGGAATGCCTACTGAAGGAAGCTTCAAGCAGTGAGTGGAAGTATTTCTAGAGAGCAACCAGGTGTGCTGCAGTCAGCAACACAGTCAGAGTGGGGCTTCCCAAATTTTTTGAAGCTCATATCATGCTGCTATGTGTCCCAGGTACTGGACACAGAGCTACAGGATTTAATTTTTGCCCTGATGAGTTCTGGTTTTGCTTTAGTCTGATCCTCCTTATGATATTCATATCCCTTTACTTTAAAATGGGACTGTTTACCCTATGCCAGGATATGTTATAAGTTATTTTTTGGGTTTCATATGGTTTTACAGCTGAGTTTACCTTGAGTTTTGGAGGAGACTTTGAACTTGGATATTTGGGCAATGCTGTAAATGTTAAGAATTCAGTAATTCTTGCAGATAAACTAAATGTATGTTGTAGTATGAGCCTTTGTGGGCTAGGGATGAAATGTTGTAGATTGAATCTCTAGTGTTCCCCAAAACTATGTGTTGAAGCCTCAATTGCTGTTCTGTGGTACCATTGGGAGGACCTTAAGTAGATGGGGACCTGGTGGGTGGAAGTTAGGTTACTGGGGACATTCTCTTGAACAGGGGCCCTGAGTCTTTCTTCCCTCTCTGTCTTTGCTTGTCTGCCATCATGAGGTGAGTAGCTTTGTTGCACTGTGCATTCCCAATCAGGTGTAATGTGCTGTCACAAGTCATGAACTGAAATCACTGAAAATGTGAACCCCAATAAATCTTTCTTTCCTTTAAATTGACTATCTCAGTTATTTTGTCACAGTAAGAGAAAGTTGAATAAGATATATGAGTATCTAGGTACTCTATTTTGCAAGTAGCATATGAAGTAGAAGGGAAAGAGCCTTGAGAGACTGAGCCTGTCATCTGTGGAGACTGTGCTGACTCTAGGTGTTGCAGAACCTAACATTGGGTTCCACAAACCCATCCCCTATTTTTCTACTGAAAATTTCTACATTAACATTGTAGTAGCCAGCTGTGTGTCTTAGTACCTTTGCCTGACAGATATAGGAAGCAATCTTTATGTTTACATAGTTGGTACAGCAAAAGACAAAGTATGTGCAGCAAGATATTTCTCACCATGGGCATCAGTGAACCAGTTGCTTCAAGTAGCAGTTTAACTGTTTTACCGGGGATCGAACTAGCATCTTTGCACTTGCAAGACAGGCAGCGGAACCACTGAGCTAAATCCCTGGCCCTAACAGTTCAATTTTTATCCCTTGACCCTTCTGGGGCTCAAACAACTCATGAATGCAAAGGAATGAGGTGTTGGTGTTTTCTTCTCAGGGACCTGAAGTCAGGCTAGTACCACCTAGGCTGACTCAGCACCAGGAAGGTGTAGATGTTAAGAGAAAAGTCAAATGTGTTTTGTCATCCAAGTACACAGGAATAGAATCACCTAGGATGGTGGCTATGATGATTTCAGAGGTATCAAAAGCCATCTAAAATAAGACTTAAGGGACTGGGGATTCGATCCCTGGTACCAAAAAAAAAAAAAGAAAGAA